CTTGGATATTTTAAACTTCGTAAATAACATTCTTTTCAAGCGTAGACTTTATTCAAGTGTAATAAATGTAAGTGAAATGTATTTTAATGAGTTATAATACGCAAAACAATTCGTATACAGCATTGGTTTTATTGAAGTTTAATGCTTTTCGACTTCACAGTGAATTATTTTAGCGTCATATTTGAAATAGCACGCTCGATACAAGATGTCGGACGGGAAAATTGGGGTCTGTAAAAATGTTTGTTGGTTCAGTCAGGCAATGTGTAGACCAAAACATCGCCCACTATTTGAAACATCGCTCATGGGCGGGGTTTAGGATGGGCGGGGTATCAGCCGAATCCAGTATATTCGCTGAATTTTGTTTTTACTGAGTTTTCAGCAAAAATAGCGAATATATAAATTCCAAGTGAAAATAAAGTATTTTACATTACATTAGACTTATTGTGATATTTATTGGCATTCTGTATTGACATATTCTTTGACAGCTATGAAACTAATGACAGCTCTGGTCAATGTAGCTTTGAATCTGAGTGTTAGTCAAGATAATACCCAACGTCAATATGATGCGGAAAAAGCCAAGCAAACACCAAAAAGAGCTGCTGAACGTCTAGAAATGTTACTTGCCAAAAGAAAGGAATTACAAGAAAATATGGAAGAAGTTAATCAGATGATGAATAACATATTTAAAGGAGTCTTTGTTCATAGATACAGGTATGTATTCAACAGAATGATACCAGACTAGACTGGGTATAACTAGTTTATACTGGTTGGTGACTCTGGTATTCATGTATGTATTCAACAGAATGGTACCAGACTAGACTGGGTATAACTAGTTTATACTGGTTGGTGACTCTTGTATTCATGTATGTATTCAACAGAATGATACCAGACTAGACTGGGTATAACTAGTTTATACTGGTTGGTGACTCTGGTATTCATGTATGTATTCAACAGAATGATACCAGACTAGACTGGGTATAACTAGTTTATACTGGTAGGTGACTCTTGTATTCATGAATGTATTCAACAGAATGATACCAGACTAGACTGGGTATAACTAGTTTATACTGGTTGGTGACTCTGGTATTCATGTATGTATTCAACAGAATGATACCAGACTAGACTGGGTATAACTAGTTTATACTGGTTGGTGACTCTGGTATTCATGTATGTATTCAACAGAATGATACCAGACTAGACTGGGTATAACTAGTTTATACTGGTTGGTGACTCTTGTATTCATGTATGTATTCAACAGAATGATACCAGACTAGACTGGGTATAACTAGTTTATACTGGTTGGTGACTCTGGTATTCATGTATGTATTCAACAGAATGATACCAGACTAGACTGGGTATAACTAGTTTATACTGGTTGGTGACTCTTGTATTCATGTATGTATTCAACAGAATGACACCAGACTAGCCCGGGTATAACTAGTTTATACTGGTTGGTGACTCTTGTATTCATTTATCTATTCAACAGAATGATACCAGACTAGACTGGGTATAACTAGTTTATACTGGTTGGTGACTCTTGTATTCATGTATGAATTTACAAGATGACTCGCTTTGTATTGATATATTCATTGTCAGGGACACCCAGCCTGAGATTCGTGCCATTTGTCTTGGTGAAATTGGAATATGGATGAAGAATTACAGTGAAACATTTCTCAGTGATAGTTATCTTAAATATGTTGGCTGGACTCTGCATGACAAGGTATAAATTCAATTTACTACTATTTCCAATATTGTACCTCCATTTTTGGTATGTTTAAAAATTTTGTATTAATGAATACTGTTGTTATCTCAACATAAGAGATTCGCTTCAGTTCATATCATGCAGTTAATGTCCTGAGACGCGTCCACATTCTTAACAATTGATGGTGTATGTACCTCATAGATTTGTAAAGCGAGAACTCTAGTAAAGTTTATTTTCTGTTTTCTCTGTGGTGACATTTACCTGTCACCGACAATCCTGTGTAATAATATGTTTACTTACTTTCATGTAGGTTGGTGAAGTCAGACAAAAGTGTTTATTTGCATTAATTCCACTGTTCAACAACCCAGAACTAGCGCCAAAACTTGAACTCTTTACAAATAGATTTAAGGATAGAATTGTTGCTATGGTATTGGATAAAGAGGTGGATGTTGCAGTACAAGCTATTAAAGTGGTCACTCTTATCTTCAAGTAAGCATTAGTTACCTCTTCTAGTCTTCTGTACATGTAAATCATATTATGGAATCTTTACTCATTTATGATTTCAAAAGACATCTATTTGCATCTGGTTTTCTCTTAAAAAGATATTAATGGTTGTCAGCCACACCTACACATACAAAATAAACAATTAAAGTGCTCTGTATATTTTGTTTAGGTTGAATGAAGATATTCTAAGTTGTGAAGACAGAGAGAATGTCTACCAGCTTGTTTATTCTTCTCATCGCAATGTAGCTCAGGCAGCTGGAGAATTTCTCAATGAATGTCTCTTTAAACGAGAGGATATACAAGCCACTCACCGTAGTAATAAAAGACGAAGTGCTAATGCTCCTCTTATTAAAGACATGGTACAGTTCTTCATTGAAAGTGAGGTTAGTCTATAACAAACCATTATGTAGGGGTGATCTCATATTCAAACATGCGGGTCAAACCTAGGAAAACCCTAACCGCCCTAAACCGCCCGAACAAAACCCAGTTTTGCGGTTTGGAAGTTTAAACAATAGACAGTGCGGTTCAGGACGACCGCACGAATTTGCATAAAAACTGCGGTTCGAACCGATCTCATTCACACCTCATTCAAGCTGTTGTTTATTTTTAGAAATGACAGAGTTTACATTGCTTTTTGAAGACTAGATAGTTGTCTCAAAAATGTGTCGATTTATTGGTGTACAGTAGTCATTTTACCATGTGCCTTGCCTAAAAAAACACTCTTTTATATATCGGTGAACAGCGTGCTGAATAAATTGTTTTGTTTTGATAAACTGTTATGCTCGAGTCGCATATTGATGAAC